TGGTCGACAATTATTTGAATCGCGACGCACCGGCCATCATCACCGACGCGATGGACTCATGGACGGTCATGAATACCGACTACTTCTGGTTCGACAATATTACCCACGTGAGTGGTAGACGAGTTTTGCCGTCTTATTATAAATGCTCGATCTTGTGTGAAAAAAAAACAAACTATTTTTCGGCTCGCAAACAGCTTTACTTGGAGAACGAGCGGTTGATGGAGACAGTACCCTGCGCCCTGACCTCCAATCTGCGTACCGGCTCGTCCGACCTCGCGGCGTTTCTACGACGCGTGCACGCGCCCGAGGTGGCCAAGTGGTTCGTCCACTGGCAGAACTGCGACATCAATGCCGTGAAGGTGCTCAGAAAGTACTATCAACGACCGTACTTCCTCTCCAGCACGGTCTCGCCGGCGCATTTCAATTGGGTTCTAATGTCCTCGGACTACAACAGCCCGAGCTACAAGAAGGTCGAGCTCGACTCCGGTCTGATCGCCCTCGCCCAGCTTCGCGGCGCGACTCAGCTGCGTCTCACCCCGATAAATCCCTGCAACAGTTCGTGTCCTGAGCTGATCGCCGATCTGCATCAGGGCGAGATGCGTAAGTGCCGCGACTGAATATGGACTGAAGTCCGGAGCACCTTTAGCGGCTCGCGATAAGCCGGACTGATGGGTGGCGTTCCGAAAGGGCCACGCTAAAATGTTTCTAGTGAGTTGTACAATTGTTGAATTATTTATACATATATTATATATACATAATAGTAAGGTGACTGAAAATTTTGTTTCTTAATTCTCTTGCTGGCTAAAAGGTGTTCCGTATTTCCGGCCAAAATTGCATTGTGACAACGGGGGCAAACAGGGGATTGGGCTGTAATGAATCGAATTTCCAATTAAAAACTCGCTTGTTATATTAATTATCCATTTATCGGATAATTAATCTCGCAAAACGAGACTTGGTATATATATTTCTTGGTCTTAATCTAAATCTAAAACTTCAGTATATTGTCCAAGTGTATTGTCAACCGTTGCCGCGAGGAATCGAGATTCCGAATTAATTCTATTTCACTCGTAATGCATGCTACATAGTTCTATTCTCGTCACAAATTTAATTTGAATCACAGTAGCCAAATATCTGGGATTTTACCTCTTGGGAATCAGATAAAATATTTATTGAGGACCTATCTAAAGTTGGAGAGATGATAAAATTAGCGACAATCTCGCGGATTTCATTAAGATTTTACGATCTCGTGTCATCAAATTCGTGCATTCTTTGCGATAACGACGTCGTTCGCGACGATATTTCCTCATTGATAAATATTTGTAACGTTGCCGCAGTCGTTTTCACGAACTTGATGTGGACGCTCGAGTACGCACCGATGCGCGGCCTGGACAACATCGCCATACTCACGGAAACCGTCTGGGAGGAAGATACGTAGATTACGTCGTCCTGAGGAGATCGTTTCTATCGTCACGCAAAATATCCTTAGCCCCACAATACTCTTCGACGTGACGGCTATATGTCGATTCGATATATTGTATACTCATGCCCTCATTACGATACGTATTAAATAAAAATTGAACATTCTGGTTTCCGGATGGATCAATTACTTTCCCATCCACAGCCGTCGGTTACACACCTCGGGCTTACACAACGATATCTATAAAACGGAAAAAGTAGCGATAACCTAAGGAGAAACTCGAAAGACGAACCAACTAGCGGGTGCGATAAATCGGTGGTCCACAACGAGGTATACCAGAAGTAACAACAAACAAGATTCGTTTTTTATTAATTAATCGTTTATAATAACATTGTGTGTGTTTTTTGTGGGCTTTCTTAAATCTCCCCTTTTCTCTTTATATATATGTATATATATATAGAGCAGCTTCTTTTTATTTCTTCTTTTTCTCTTCACCTCGATCTAACAAGGAGTAAGATCGTCGCGCACCGATTCATAGAAAAAACAAAGCGCAAGAATACTGAATGACAAACGTAGCTGGCGTTTCTCTCTCTTGGCATGCTTAAGAGATGACGCGATATAATTCCTTTTTATTAATTATTATTTTTTTTTCGTTTATATTGAAACGTGTTATATAGTCGATTTGCGCTACCTCCTGCTCCCGTTTCATACGTCCTTAATGTCGACACGAGAGAAAGAATGACAATAATTGGCGTCTAATTAACACCGTCCGGATAGCTTCGTAGCACCGCCCCTCTGTCAGTCACTTTGATTCGTTATAGCGCTCTTTCCCTCCGTCAGTGAAGCTTTCCTTAGCGGAACGAAAGGGTCCGCGGGTCCCAGAACGAATCGTCGTCGATCTCGCTGGAGTGTCGGTGTCCGTTTAAGATCATACCGGAGAGCCAATAATTTTTCCAATTTCGCAATCTCGACAAACTCCTTAAATAAATCATACTCAAAAGGTAAGACTGTCAAGTACAATCGCTAAATTTAGCTCGCGTGTAACTCTCCGAGTACAATTTTGCAGTGTTCGCAAAGAACGAAAAGAAGCAATCGCTTTACTATGGAAGAGCCGCTCTCAGAGAGTAAGACTTTCAAACGGACACTCATTTTTTCGCTATCGACGCGTGTCGGCCTGGGGTGTGTATGTGTATGTATGTGTTCGTGTGTACGTGTGTATATGAATGCGCGGAGGGCGGGCGTTATATTAATTCTATTCGACACCTAGTAGGTGAAATCAACCCAGTGCCTTACGCCTAAAAGGTATTCTACGAAGACCGAAAGAAACGTCCGGAAAATTGTGGAGGATTGTTGGGCGCACCTGCGTTCCTTTCAGCATTCGACAGCTCGCTCGCACGCTCGTTCGTTCGTTCGCCAGTCGATTTCATCCTCGACACCGATATCAAAAGAGCTACACGGATCGTCTCATTCAGAGGCTAAAAGTCGGTAACGATGAGAATGTACAATGAGATATACAGAGTGTGAGGCTCGATAAACGATCCCGAGAAGTGATCGGTAGACTCGTCGTGGACTGGTACCGCTGAGTCAAGAACCCGACGACCCGTCATCGCAGAAAGAAAGGATTAACATTCGCCTCCTGGTGGAATTTACAACGAAGAAACCGTCGGATATAGACATATGAACACTAGAGACAGAGATTCACATTCGATAGGACGTTGTTAAGATGCACGCCGCTAGCTACGAGATTAAGGATGGATTAGAGTCGACCGTTCGATCATACATTGGACGCGGATCAATCGAAAATTCAGACTTTCAGCTATACACGAGTATTACGCAGCTTTCGAGAAAATACAATTCGTAAATGTGATCCAATGATTACCGTGATATTCTAAAAGCGATGACGGATCGGGAGCCTCGCGGAGCGGTATCGTCGCGAGCGGTAAATTCTACCCGCGCTCGATCGTCTTGTCGCGTCTCGCTGTTTTTATTGTTCTCGTTAAACGATCGAATCGCTATCGAATCGCTGGCGCTTGGTCTGGACCGCGCGAAGAGGATGAGCGTCGCGGAGATGACCTCTGACCCCGTTTGAACGTCTTTAACGCGAGGTACACAATGAGTCCGTTCGCGTGAAAGTCATATAGGTGCGTTTTAGGGTGATCATTATCTAAAAGTCTAACGATGATAAGTAAAAATGCTTTACTCCTCTCCTCTTTCTTTCTTTCTCGTTCTCTCTCTTTCTCTCTCCTCGACTTTGTACCGTAAGTAAAAGCACTAATGTGTGCGCGCGCCGCATCGACGATTATTAGTTTCTCCCCTTTGTTCTCTCTCGCTCTCTCTCTTCTCTCACAATATTTTCCTCTCTTCTTCGAAGACCCGCTTCCTGCCGGAACCCGCTCGACATCTCGCGTCTCGATGCTCCCTCATAATTTCTCTCTCGTTTCTCTTATTTCTCCTCTCTTTACGCCTATAATCAATTTTAAGTTCGTAACAAATATGTATACTTTCTCGCTCGCGCGAAAGAGAACTATACAACGGCTATATCATAGAGATACGATGGGATAACGCAGAAAACAATCGAAGAAAGACACGTAACGACCGCGACATATGTGAGAGATTACACACACTCGCTAATTAGCGTCTTGGTACTCGTTATAATCACCCGCGGCATCGGTAACTTCGGTATCAGTCTTTATTTTTCACATCGCCTGAATCAAGATTACTAGTTGGATATGAGTTCGGATGTCGTAATATATAGTGCGAAAATCGTGAGGGGGAGTAAAGGGTGGAGGGCGCGGGAGGAACAAAAAGCATCCGCAGAAGCTGCGAAAGGGAGACACGTGCTCTAATAAATAATGTAGTTATCACCTTCCACTCGATTACTACCCGAATCGTCCAGTCGTGTAGTTCCGTAAACGAGCACTGATATTCTCTCTTTTTTCTTTTTGCTTTAAAATGCGCGTTTATGTACAATCTCTAATTGAAAAAATACAACTCGGTGAAAATAACTTTGCGAGCGGAGCACCGCCGTTGCAAATCATTACGTATGGCGCAATCGATATCCTCGCGGATTTATCCACGCGAATAGCCGTGGAGAAAGCGACGGATTCTCTCGTGTCTCTCGCGCGATCGTCCGATGCTACACGACCGGATCTGATCGTCGGATTCGTCGGACGCGCACGTTCGAAGCCGAGTACTATCATATACTATCACGCGACAAAGCAACAATAAAATGAAAAATAAAAGCAAGGAAGTGCTTCGAGTACCGTTGTTCTGTCTACTTTTGATTCAGACAGACTCACTCCATGCAAGTGTAATCGTAATTCATGCGTAAGCTTGTGTAATAATGATAACAACACCGCGTCAGGGAGATACGTCCGTCTGTCGCAATTGTGATTTCTATATTTCAATATTTACAGCGCTTGCGATAAATCTCATTAGCATTTAAATAATTTCTGACAATCGTTTCTCTCCAGTCTTAACAATTTGCGCATGGAAAACTCTCATCGACAACAACAAAGTATCGTCAGATATCAAAGTCGTAAGATATCTACCGCGGATTGATTACACACAATGAAAAACGAGCTATTCAATAATTTTATTTAGATAGATGATTCCCGATTTTTCTTTAACGTTATAAATTTCGTCTTGGTCCATAATGACGTATACATGATGTTCCTTTATGCGTCTCGTTAGTGTAGTTACTTTTATGTCGCATTATTTTTCTGATCAACGCAATATTAGCCCTTTCACTTCCACCTTAGGATACGTAACATTCTAAACTCTAACAAAGTGTAATCGTAACATCGTTACCGAGATATATTGTCCTCCAAAAAATCATTAAAGCTGCAGTGGGACATACTTGCCCCGATAGGTGAAAGGATTGAATCGCGATCTTGAGTTTTCTAGGAATTGCTTTGTTTCTCGACGAAAATAATTATCTCCCTACGCGGTGCTCTCTTCTTCTCAAAATCTCGAGCTTGTCTCACTGCATATGTATATTCACCGTCACTGAAAAACATACGAGAAGCGAGTACACACACAGGACAGGCGCGAGTAATAACAATTAAGTACAAGATTGCGTCAATGGCGTGATGTGTTGATACCAGTGTGATAATGATGATGATTGATAATGATTAGGATGATGACAATGATAATGAAAATGATCAGAATGATGAAGATGGTGAAAATGGTGAGGGCGATGAAGGTAATGACGATGAAGATGATGTTAATGTTAAATATTGTTAATGATGGTGTTGAATGATTCGACAGTGAATCCGAAAAAGATTCGTCGCTCTTCCTCCGCCATATTTTTTTTTTGCTAAAGATATCTTGGCGAAAGAAAACAATCGAAGGTAAAGATACTTTGTACAAAATACGATACAAGTAGCGATGTAACAACACTTTGCAATAGTTAAATATAATATATGTATATATGTATATATATGTATATCTGTATATGCATATGTATATATGTATATCCCGTTACCATTTAATACGCTATGATCTCTCGTTCCATCTCGTCTGTCTTTCTCTCTTTTACACACACACCACACACACGCACACGCACACGCACACACACACATACACACACAGTCATATGATATATAGTTATCGTTTGATACGCGGACGATTCGCCCGCCCGATCGAAGGATCGTAGCGTTTCGTGTCTGCGTTTCATTGGTGTCTGACGATGCTCGATACCCCGATTTTTGTGCGCCACTCAAGACGTGCGCCTGACGATAAACGGCCACGTCGCCGTTCATCATCGGGCATCGTCTTGGATTCGTCGATTCTCTCCCGATCCGAACAGGCGATCCCGATTCTGAGATTCATCCGAGCGGCTGGAAACACGAGGCTCGAGGATCTCTCTCTTTCTTTCTTTTTCTCTCTCTCT